GCTCAATAAAAATGAATGTCTCCTCAATTAGAAAAAAAAACAGGAAACCTCAGCTAAACACGCTGCTACTACGTCCAAGACCCTTCCTGATATGTCCAAACAAAGTAACCTCGAGGAAGAAATCAATTCACTAAAAAACAGTGAATTCAGTAATAACTACGACCAAATTTTATCATTCTGCGAACACACGTTAATTTGGATAGACTCGATATGGCCGGTTCATTCTTATCACCTCTGAAACCCAGGAGCACGTGCGCAAATCAGAAAATATGATTATATTCAATATACCCAATAGACGGTATGGAAAAATTTTAAAACCGCCCTCCTCACTGCCTGCAACATAGATCGGTTTAATCGTGTTTGTATAAGACTAATGAAAAATGCGAAAATGAAGTTGTGTTCGGTTTGTATTGAATTAATCAACTGCTACCACTTTTCTGAGATTCAAACGGCTGATTACTGTAAGAACCTCATTCAAAAATGTTATAGTCAGGAAAGACCAAACACCGCTAGAAAGACGCCTAGCTCTTAAACAAAAGCCTTCATGTGTGTTAATTCAATATCCACCAAGTCACCGAGTGGACAATGAAGTAGACCTTGACAGAACACCATAATAAAACCTTCACACTTGCGGCTCATATACTGAACAGCATTACACTTACTAAATCGCCGAATAAAATGAAACAACTCCAGGAACTAAATCACACCGAGATAACAGCCGAAACCAACCCTAACTCGGCTGTTCCATCTACGAGCAACGTGCGCATAAAAGATGCTGCGTGTACTACACCTGTATCCCCCACAGTGCAGAACCATAGATCGAAATTCTCCATGAAGGCTGTGAGAAACAAGGAAACACCTCATAGTCAATTTAAATATAAATGCACCACCTCCAATCAGAGATCACTATAAATCGTGGAATGGCTTTACATTAACACGACATGAGAACATCCAACACCAGACGTCTCTGCCACAACATATTCCAGAGCGTCGGTATGACTCGATAAATCATTTCTGAAGTAAACGATTTCGTGAGTCAACTAGTGACACTAAATCTGGCTGTAGCATCAATGGTAGAAACTCTGCTGAACACCCTCACAGCCCACCTCTGTGTCGGAACCCAAATTGGTATCACCTTAACACAAGAGGAACTGCAGTCAGTGACCGAAATTCGGAAATTCATAGGACATTGCCTAGTGCGCACAATAGCGCCCACCAGCTGCTCTCACAACAACTAGTCTATGCCACACCACCACTCCCTGTCATGGAAATCCCGCAAGATCATTTTGTAGGACACCATATCCCTCAACATTACCCCCCCCCCACCACTGGGATTTCCACCACTAAGCCGCTTGAATCAAGATGAGCTCTGTACTAGAACATCTTTGTTGGAGTCAATATAAGCTAGAGATCTCCAAATCAGGAATGCCTCATTGTGGCACAACACCAATAACAATGCTAGCAAACAGTCTCTCTTAACCCCGCATCACCTCTTTCCGTAGATTCTCTAGATTTCGCTGTTATTAACATTCGTTTCCTAATACCTAAATTGCATTTTCTTACAACTTTCGTCTGGTTTAAAACATCCTTTTGTTTTAGATGGAAATTGGGTGTTGTCCACCCGAAAACACTGCACAACCACGACGCGTTTCGATGTAATTTCATCTCATCAGGTGGAGGCAGCAGGCCTCGATCCCGCGACCATTGGAATAGTAGCCGAAACCACTACCCCTTTGGCTACCGGGTCACGGTGGGCAACGCTTTTGTTTTCATCACTGAAACATGGTGCAACTCAGACATAAGTGACTCTCAGCTTCAGGTTATTGGCTACCACCTGTTGCGAAAAGATCCTGCGAGCAAACGAGGAGGAGAATGCGATATCTACATTTGTAAGGATATCACAATGATGCATGTTGACTTTCTGACCTTCAATGATAGAAGATTCGTTGTGGTTAGCAATCCCTTCCGGTGACTGGGTTGCATCTACAGATCTCCCAGCACTGCCAATCACCATACTGAACAACTAGTTGATGCTATCAACGCTGTCTCAAATATTTCTTACAAACAAGTTCGCAGTTGGAGATTTCAACTTACCGTATGTTGACTGGACGACGCCATACTTAAAGTCTCAGGGAGCCTCATGGGAATAATCCATAGCATTCAGATCAATGGTTGGACTCAACAAGTTAATCAACCTACAAGAAGAATCAACGCATTAGATCTGATATTTACTATGGTTGTCCCCTCAGTGATCGTCACTTCTGACAGTCCACTAATGAGATGCGACCACAATAATGTGCTATGTAGCATGAATATTAAAGTAGCAAACAAACTACGAGTGACTGGTAAGTCTACTCGTTGCATTCGTCTCATTGACTGGATCATATTTGCATTTAGTTTGTTCTTTGACCCTGATGTATCCAGGTATTGTGATAATTTGACAAGCTATTTAAACTTCTGTTTTGATATCTGTTGCCCTTTGGAAACTATTTACGTCCGCGCTGACAGGTTTTCCTCCCCCACCTGAAGCGGCTACGCCGACTTAAGGAGAAAGCGTTTAAAGAAAAAGACGGCACCTCAGTAAGATCTCTCACAGGTCGTATCAAGGAAGAACTACACCGTCTTAACAAAGTGTATGTCCAGTCTGTTCTTGGGAACGGCAGTTGTCGTGAACTCTGGAGGATGCTGAAAACGCTTAGCGGAGTTACTCGACGTTCGCCCTACTTTGATGTAGACGTAGAGAAATTGAATCAGGAGTTCTGCAAGTGTAATACTACTACAGCTCCAGAGTCTTCCTGTGCCCAAGTTCTGGGGTCTGCTGAACCACTGCCTCCCGTTGACAGTGCAACTGTAAATAATCTACTGAAACATCTACGTTCCGGTAAAGCTAGTGGGCCGGACATGCTATCTCCTATCTTACTCAAAGAATGTGCCGATTGTTTGGCAACACCTCTTGCGAGTATATACACAATGTGTATGCAGCAACACAAAATAGCCGACTGCTGGAGAAGTGTCAACATTACACCAGTGCCGAAAAAAGGATCCAACAAATATCGACCTATCGCGTGCACTTCCGTTGCTTTGAAGGTTCTGGAGAAAGTCATTCTCGAAATGATGCCGTCCAGAACACGCTCTAAGGACCCCTCCAGTTCGCCTATTGTAGTTCGAGGTCTACCCTAGATGCTGTGGCCTACCTCGTACATTCTGTACTGTCATCGCTTGACAATAGGAATAAAGCAACTCGGATGTGTTTTCTTGACTACAGCAATGCATTTGGCTGTGTAAACCGCGAATTACTGCTAGAAGACCTACTTACTCAAGGAGTACATCCCTCCATTGTCTATTTACTGAGTGATTATTTTGCTGAACGCACTCAGATCACCCGACTCAGTGGCAGATGTTCCTCCCCACTACTCACCAACGCAGGTGTCCTTCAGGGAGCAATTCTGTCGCCTTTTCTCTTTTCTACTTACGTCAGCTCTATGCCAGCTCCAACTGAAGCGACTCTGATAAAATATGCGGACGATATCGTCCTGGGCATCAATCACCAAAGCGCCGATTGTTCATTCAGACTACAAGCGCTTCTGAACGATCTTAATGGCTGGTCCAAATCCCGTGATCTGTCTCTTAATGCTTCAAAGTGCCATGACATTCTTTTCCTTACACAAAGGAGCCAGGTACGAGGAGCTCCTTACACTGTGCAACAAGTTACATATTGATGGCGACGGATTACAGTCTTCCACATCAGTAAAATATCTGGGTGTGACGTTGAGTTACGATTTATCTTGGACGCTTCAAGTAAATGAAACTTTCACAAAAGTCAGAAGGCTGTCATTCTATGCCTCTCGGCTCAGAGCCTCCTGCGTTCCTCGTGAGTTGATCGTTCGCTTTGTCAATGCCTGTGTTCTTCCCCATTGGACGTACTGTTCCCCTGTGATCTTTCCCGGTCTTTTGGGTAAGCATTTTAAGTTAATTGTCAGATCATTAAAGCACTTAGCCCGATGTAGCGGTGTTCCGATATCTACTTTTACCAACACTCTTATTTCTACACACATCAGTTCTTGTAAAAAGCTGGCCTCTAAGATACTGACCGATACAAGTCATCCCCTACATACTGCCTTATCTGAATGTTTATCAACTTCATCTACTAGGCAGAAGTACAAGCTAATCTATGCCCGCACACAAGCTTACCGCTCGTCAGTCATCCCTTACCTCTCGCGTCTTTTGCGAGACCCCAACTCTGTCATCCTTGACTTAACCAGTCGACTTGATTGTTTTTCGTCCTTATCCACCCGTTCTTTGTCGTATTGCTTTGCCACTGATTTGATTTTTTGGTACGTTGTCGAGATCGCGTGTGTTGTAGCTGAATATGCACCCATGTGGAGGTGCATAAAGCAATTTCTTCACTTTATTTGGCTTAAACACCCTACAATGTGAATACTACCTATATTATTCTGGTAAAGCAATTCGGTTTAATGATCCACTGGAGTTATCTTAATATAGCCTTTTCCTTATTCTCGCAATTCCCAAACTTGCTACTCACAAATTGCTCCAACTGTATTACTACAGTCTATTAAGTAAGACTGTGTATTATCAGATTTTGATTGGTGTGTCTAACTGTTTCATCTTTTTCATACTCCCTCCTCCATCAAACTGCCGCCATCATGGCACCAGCAAGCTGCACCGAAAACAACCAAATGAGGGTGCCAGCGAACTGGTAACATACGAGGACAAAGTCCCAAATGAAATGATTCGCGAAAAACAACCCTATTGTAACCCAGTAAAAACCCAAGCAATTGACAGCCTCGTATGCCTGAGCATGTTGCAATGTAAGTATGATCCGTCCCTTTGTGGGCTCGGTTTATCGGCTCCACGAGGAATATACTTTATTATTATTAGTACCAATTTTAGTTTTCTTGCCGCCTTTTTAAAAAAGATATAAAGGGATCTAACTGTTACAAAACTCATCCACACATCAGTCGCGAGGCAAGCCAACTCACTCGATTGGGGGGTAGGACAATGTAAATTCTCCAGTAGAACCAGAGGCACATGATAGCGAACATCAGGGCAAAAAGAACTGAAGTTAAACATGACGGACGCCCTCTGGATATGAACGGTCGCTGAGTGACGCTAATAATCCTTTTTATGCGATGGTTCATTGGAATAACAATTTCTGAATCAAACGAACGAACGCCAGAAACGTCGCCCGACAACTGTAAGCCCTTGCGGCACGCATAGCCACCGAATCACGTACGGCTGAAACCAGTAGCGCGACGTTGTTATTAGCTTCGCTCTCATTGGCCGACCATCATTGGTCATCGATCTGATGTCAGGACAAGTTCGTCCAATCACACTCAGACCGGAGGGCAACTAGGCAAGCGAGTTAATTTATCACGGTATCCGCGACAATGCCTATTGTTACTATACGACTGGGAAGGCACGGGGATACTGGAACAGGTCGGTTCCGAACATTAGTTGGAACGGGGTTTACGAGTATATTTCATAACTTACTGATAATACTTATGAATGGAAGGATTTTGGTGAGTATTTTTGTTCGTCGCAATCAGCCGACAATTCAGATATGTCGACCAGCTATCCGGAAAAGCACCAGATGGCCGTTTCGCCCTATTGGGGCTCATCAGTGGTGCGCATCCTTCGCTCCTCTGCGGAGGATCGAACCCATGACTGCTAGTGGCTCTTGCCAACTAGCCGGCAGCTTATGCAACTGCGCCATGGAGGACGGTATCTGACTATCGTGAATTGTTAGCTAAATGCGATATAGCCCGACGCATCCTCCACTGTCATGCAGGCACCTGCCATGCAGATGACAGCGGTCGGCCTTCCGGCGTCAGGACTTCCCGGTTACGGCAGCTATGAATCGACATAGCATTTTGTGGAATCCGTACGGGCGAATTGGTATTACTTATGAACGGAAGGATTTTGGTGAGTATTTTTGTTCGTCGCAATCAGCCGACAATTCAGATATGTCGACCAGCTATCCGGAAAAGCACCAGACGGCCGTTTCGTCTTATTGGGGCTCATCAGTGGTGCGCATCCTTCGGTCCTCTGCGGAGGATCGAACCCATGACTGCTAGTGGCTCTTGCCAACTAGCCCGCAGCTTATGCAACTGCGCCATGGAGGACGGTATCTGACTATCGTGAATTGTTAGCTAAATGCGATATAGCCCGACGCATCCTCCACTGCCATGCAGGCACCTGCCATGCAGATGACAGCGGTCGGCCTTCCGGCGTCAGTCATGGGTTCGATCCTCCGCAGAGGACCGAAGGATGCGCACCACTGATGAGCCCCAATAAGACGAAACGGCCGTCTGGTGCTTTTCCGGATAGCTGGTCGACATATCTGAATTGTCGGCTGATTGCGACGAACAAAAATACTCACCAAAATCCTTCCATTCATAAGCAATACCAATTCGCCCGTACGGATTCCACAAAATGCTATGTCGATTCATAGCTGCCGTAACCGGGAAGTCCTGACGCCGGAAGGCCGACCGCCTTCATCTGCATGGCAGGTGCCTGCATGACAGTGGAGGATGCGTCGGGCTATATCGCATTTAGCTAACAATTCACGATAGTCAGATACCGTCCTCCATGGCGCAGTTGCATAAGCTGCCGGCTAGTTGGCAAGAGCCACTAGCAGTCATGGGTTCGATCCTCCGCAGATGACCGAAGGATGCGCACCACTGATGGGCCCCAATAGGGCGAAACGGCCGTCTGGTGCTTTTCCGGATAGCTGGTCGACATATCTGAATTGTCGGCTGATTGCGACGAACAAAAATTACTGATAATATTAATAATTTAAAGCAGTTAGTTCCCTTCAACAATTTGAAAAGCACGGAAAGAAGACGAAGGCTGGTAGATGCATGCATTTCGTATTGTCTCCTCAGTACCATTAACAATAACCGATAAGCATAGATATAGCTAACAGTGGTTGCAACCAGACAAGCTTAAGGTGCAAAATGACTGACGGAAGTTCACACCTGTGTCCAAGGCAGCTTTAGGCTGACAAATAATTGTTTCTGAACACACAAGGCTGGCTTGTTAATGGTACTGAGGAGACAATACGAAATGCATGCATCTACCAGCCTTCGTCTTCTTTCCGTGCTTTTCAAATAATAATAATAATAATGATAATAATAACCTTTCTCTTGGTACCGATAAATGGAGCCCACAAAGGGACAGATCATATTTACACTGCAACATGCTCAGGCATGCGAGGCTGTCAATGGATTGGGTTTTTACAGGGTTACAATAGGGACGTTCTTGCGAATAATTTCCTTTGGGACTTTTAACCTCTTGTGATACCAGTTGCCGGGTATTCTCATGTGGCTGTTTTCGGTGCAGCTCGGTGGAGGCATAGTGGAGGCGGTTTGGTCGGGGGAGGGAGTATGAAAAGGATGAAACATTTAGTTTCACCGATCAAAATCAGAGGAGTAATACATAATCCTAATTAATACCCTATAGTAATACAGTTGGAGCAATTTGTGAGGAACAAGTTAGGGAGTTGCGAAAATAAGGAAAATACTATAGTAAAGTAACGCCAGTAGATCACCAAAATCAACTTGCTTTATCAGAATAGCATAGATAGTATTCACATCGTAGGGAGTTAAGGCACAGCGTGGTGTCTAGGCATTCCTTGGTCTAATTATGTAATTGTACTAATCAAGTAGTGTTTTGGGCTGCCGGATGGCTGAGATGCTGGGTGAGCTCAGTTGCATTGCTTTCAGCCTCCACTTGTAGGTGGATATTCAGGGTGTGCGTGACTATACACAGTAAATGTTGAAAAGAGAGAATTAAACAGATAAGTAGACAAAGCAATGAACGCCTATTCCCTGCACTCAGAAGTTATTCAGTGGATCGTGACCTTGTAGAAAATGCCAAAAACAGTGTGATTAGGAAAGTGTGCAATAGTCATCCGATTCTTGGTTTAGAGATATAGAGGAAATACATCACAACTAAGAGCGAGGCTATGGTTAATGAGAAATATCGGTAAGACGATAGGACGGTAGGGATGAAGTAACTAGGAAACAGGATCACAACATATTCAGTGCAGAATGAAGTATGGTAAGAAAGAACAAGTGATTGGCTATAGCAATGAAAACTGGTAGCTCAGGTTGTTCAGGTGGCTGTTGAACTGTGCGCTGAGCTTGGCAATTTTGTTGCATTGAAATCAAATGGATTGACGGAGGAGTCCCAACAACATATATGGCAGACCGTTGTCCCAGTGCTTACTCGGAATAAACGCACCCAGACCCTAACCAAGGAGGAACAAGATGCACTCAGACGTCTACAGAAAGACGATAACATTGTAATCCTACCAGCAGATAAAGGACGCATGACAGTGATAATGGACAAGCCAGAGTATCTTAACAAGGTCAAAGAACTGCTATTCGACGCGACTACATATCGCCAGATCGATCAAGATCCAAGTTCAAAACTGGTTAACCAGATCAACGCAACGTTGAAGATACTGATACTGATACTGTCATGATAGCGAGAAAGATGTTGAACATCTATGTAGCTATATCTCAATGTAGGACATGTCCCACTGACACAGTGTTACCTGTAGTAGTGAGCTAGCCCAGGTGAAAAAAGTAAAATATTTACAAGCATAGAAAAAATCTCCATGTACTTACCATATATTCTTGGATGAACCACATGGAGTCCTTCACCAGCTCCGCCGCCTATTACGGATGGGCATCGTTTCGGAAGCTGCAGTTGGTGGATTAACGGGCTCCATGGGTTATAATCATTGAACGATTCCTTCGTCAGTTTCCTGTGAAGGCTTCGTCGAATCTGGCATCCACAAAGTGCGCGTCCAGGAATCGTTTGAATTCCGACACCGAGTTCGCTTCTACTATCCGCGAGGGCAAACGGTTCCACATGTTCACCACTCGCCGCTCAAGACACAAGGGATGAGCTACCCACTTGAGGTCAGGGACTACCAGTTTGTACTGGTGACCTCGTGTGCTGCTTGACGCACGGACATGGAGCAGTGGCCTCAGCATCGGATAAGCACCCAGATGCAATACTCGATGGGTCATGATGAGGTCCACTCGCACGCGGCGGTAGGCTAGAGTATACAGACCCAATTGTCTGCATCTTTCTTCATACGGCACACCCTGAAGACCGGGAATGAGCCGTGTGGCTATGTGTTGTACTCTTTCGAGCTTGTGTATCTCGCCTTTCGTCAACGGACAGTAGGCGGGTGAGCCGTATTCTAGCACCGGTCGTACAATGGATGTGAAGAGACGAGTGGCAATCTCTTTCGACCAGGTGCAGAAGCTACGTTTCAGCGCCCACAGCGAACGCAATGCTGTGCGATACATATTGTCCGTGTTGTCCAGTGACTTCATGTCGTAACGTTGTATAACGCCAAGGTCTCTGACGCAATGCGTCGGGTGTAGAACTTGGCCGTCGAGAGTGTACGATCGGCCCGCTCCACCTTTACCGAGGCACAGAAGTAGCGATTTTGCCGAATTGATAGGCAAACTTACTTCGGCGGACCACATGGAGAGGCGGTCGAGGTCCTGCTGAAGTACGTCAAAGTCGTCCGACGTATGGATCACCCTCCATAGCTTCAGGTCATCCGCGAACAAGGCACACGGCGACCGAAGGAGATTGGACACGTCGTTGATGTGAATCAGGAAGAGAATGGGGCCAAGCACCGTCCCCTGAGGAACGCCGCTCGTCGACGGGTACCAGTCGGTCAGGTGGCTGTCGACTTGCACCCTCCACTTCCGTCCAACTAAGAAGTCACGGATCCATTGGTGCAGCGAGCCTCCGACTCCGCACTCCCTCAGTTTCTGAAGGAGGATCTCGTGATTCACTCTGTCGAAGGCCTTACTGAAATCGACGTATACCACGTCGACTGACTTACGTTGGTTTACTGCTTGCAACCATTCATGCCATGTTAGCAGCAGGTTAGTGATGCACGAGCGGCCTCTCACGAAACCATGCTGTGCAGGCGTCAGGAGAGAGTTGGTCTCCAATAGCTGGAGCAGTCTCTTCTTCACAATCTTCTCCAGAACTTTCGACAATACTGCGGTCAAACAAATAGGGCGGTAATTCTCCATTTTGCGTGTGTCACCGCCTTTTGGAATCGGTTTGACAACGGCGCATTTCCAGTCACAAGGCACGCAGCCTACGGACAGGGATCGGTTGAACAGGTCGGTTACAGCAGGTGAGATCACAGCTGACAAGGACTTGAGGATCAGCGGATGGAGACCATCCGGTCCAGCTGGCTTCGTGCT